CCGCCATCGCCAGCACCAGCACCAGCACCAGCACCAACACCAGCACCAGCACCAGCTCCAGCACCAGCACCAGCACCACCACCACCACCACCATATACACCACATAAATCATTGCCAGTAATTGAGGTGTTTGCTGTCATACATGTGACATGCGCGCCGAAACTTACAAAGACCAATAAACCTTCAACCCGGACTACAGAAGCCTACAGACATTCCACCCTTGGAACAGCAGCAGCTTCTTCAAGCAACCCTGCCGGCAGTGCAAACCACTGGTAGCTACATAAACCAAGCTGCTGGTCGGCGTTGACATTGTCAAGAGACAGCCGCCACACAACGTACATAATGATCACCAGAAACCTGAGTCAATCCAGGAAGTGTTGGCGGTGACACTGCCTTCAAATGCAAATGCTGCTACTTCTTGATACTTCAGGAGCTTTGCATCTTTCGCGCTTACACACAAGATCAACTTAAGCGGTCTTGCACAGCTGCCAAGGATCTGGCATGAGTCACATGAGCTTTGAACATCTGACAGCTTCCAACCTTGAACAACCCTGCGGTCAGGCAGCAAGGTGACCACCGCACATGCTGCATAGGAGCTTGAAACGGCCTGCCACCACAGTCCAATTTGCCAATGGATTGCTGCTGCTTAAGGTCTGACGGCGGTCTGGACTCGAACTTCTGAATCTGAACTCAAGCACTTGCTGGGCATTCTTAGACTTGCTCACCAAGTCGAGGCACCTTCAGGCCCCACACTCCGCCATAGCACATGCCATCAACGACGCCCTGCATCAAACTCTTCAGCAGGCTCGAAAGTTGCACAACGATATAGAAGTTCTACAGCCGAACCTTGTAGGCTGTTCCCATGAAGCCGCAGGTCACACCATTGCCGATCAGAGTTATTTTGGAAAGGAAGTACTGGTCCTCAGCATGCGGCCACATGCCGAAGGAACGCTAGCAACAATCCCCACCATGTCAATAAGATCAGACGGGGCTCCAGGAGAGCTTTCAAATTAGTCTGGATCGCAGTGAACGAGTCTGTTGTGGCCGTGTCCATACGGGCAAAGACCTTGCGCTTCTCACAGGACGGAAATCAAGGATACATAGCCGTGTGTTCGGCCGCGCGTTTCACCCACAAAGCAGCTGGCAATGCTTGTTGTTTCCTGGCCTTGTTCAGGCGCTGATCATAGTCTTGGACGAGGGTCACAAACTCCGACAAGGAGCCTGACTGAGGTTGATCGCTCTGATTTTCGTGTGGCAAGTGCTACACGCCGAGAAGCAGGAGTACTCTTCTGATGTGGCACCCAGGCAGTCGTTCAGCCAGGTGCTCCCGCTCTGGACCATGTTGATCACCTCACACAGCAGGCTTACAATCCGTGAGGCCAGACTTTGCCGCAGAGTGCTAGCGCAGTCATCACCAGGGTCCCAGCATCACAGGTGCCCCCACCGGACAAACGAAAGCGTCGGCAGGTGAAGAGGTTCTGACTCCGCAAGGCCTCCCAGCAGAAGTTTGACAACACGGGAAAGCTCCGCGCGGAGTTTGCAGTGCCTGCTTGAGGTCCATGAATTGGCCCGTCGCTGCCTTGGCCCGACGGGGAACACGTAGGCAAGGCCCCGAGGCGTCGCTTCTGAGAGCCCTCTAGAAGTGAGTTACTAAGCTTCTGGCGCATATATCTGACCGAGGAGCCACTTGGGCCTGAGCTTGCGCAAACCACCAGGAGAAGAGCACCAAGAAAGAATCGGCATTCCTAAAACTGACTGCATACCAGGAAACTGTGCAATCGACTCGCTTGGCGCATGTTGCTGGGCTGTAGTCAAGGATCCCACCGAAGGTCTCAAGACCTCGGGTGAGCTTCTTCATAAACCCCATCTTGACTCAGAAGTGTCACGGTGTCACAATGTGTCCGCCTATGTGACACACAAACAGAGGCCTGTGCTCAGGCACTCGGACTTTAGTCAGCAAACTTCCTCCTCTGCCTCTTAGATCCTCTTGGACTCTAGGTCAAACTTGGTCTAGCTGGTAAGAAGTTTGAGGGCGGCCAAGCAGCTTACAGCAGTTGCAAAGGACGATATCCCTGACCTCAGCGCTCACCAAGATGCAATACACACAACTGAACCCAGAAGCAGCAATGCGGTGCTAATTCTACTCTAAACAGAAGGCGAGCGACGTCGTGGTGCCCTCTCCAGTAAGACCATAGCCAGTTGGAACAGTGAAGTCACTGCCTTGGAAGTGTAACAAAGCATGCCGTGGTTCCGCAGGACAGGTCTGGCGTGCCCTCGGCGGAAAAACGCCGAATGTCAGCCCAATGATATTCTGCCAGGGCGCAAGCTGCGGACGAGGCAAAGAATGGAGCAAGGTCAGCGTCTCCGCCCATGTTCTGGCACCAGCGTTGGCAGAACAAACTACGCACACCTGTAGATCCTGTAGAGTCTGCCCTGGGCCCTTCCACTTTTGCGAGCACATGCTGTCCCAAACAAAGTGTGCAGGCGCCCGCTGTCTAGTTGCCTGGTAGTTCGCATCACTTGTAATCGACGTCTGAGGATACCTCCAGAGCAACCAGCAGATTCATGCTAATCTGGAAGGCTGCAAGCTGTCTTGCTAAGGCAAGTGCACATGATGCATGTTGCACGTGACTTTGTATAACTCGGACACAACAACAGTAATTATCAGGAATCATCAAACCTGTACCAACACTACAGACCCATCAAGCGGCTCGTTCCAGGGATCCACAAATTTATCCAGAACGGTGGAAATTTATCATCTTTGTCATAGCTCCAGCTGAGCAGCATCGTTGCATCTAAAGGAACATCACGCCTCAATCAGTATGAGCTGAAGCGCAAATGGCAGTCATTGCTCTTGCAAACAATCCCTAGCCACACCCAATGTTGCAAATCTGGTTTCACTTCTATCTTTGCAGCTTTGTCACAGCATGCTGGTCAGCATGGTGACCTGGCAGCATTGGCCAAAGCAGCCTTTTCAACAAAACATTTCTTGCACGTTGCACTGCTTGGCCTACCGTCGCCCTCTGCGTGAGAACCAAATGAATTAATTGTACAAGGAGTCTGTAGAATGCAGTCAGAAGAATTGTTCAACACGAGGATTTTGTTGGACAACATCTTTTCAGTGATACCCTTGGCAGGCTTCGCAAATAGCTCAGGATGACGATACAAAAGGGCCGTGCCAGTAGTGATTTAAACTGAAGTTTGAACTCAGAACACTACCAGCAGCTAAGACTATGTGCTTGAGGTGCAGCCAATGCGAGTCAGAGTATACGGATTTGGCTTCAGGGCCGGGGCTTAGAGATATGAATAATGACTCATCCTGTTGAAGGCCTCCGCCACTAAAACTGGCTTCCGGGCCTCACTGGAAGAAGAGAGGCCGGCACTCGGCGCACTCCTGAATCATAGCCACTATTGGCATAACGTCCCTGTATATCCCTACATAATCTATGTTATATATATATATATACATAGCAATGTCCATTTCATGTTCCATGTGATGCTCCGTTTGATTCTCCATTATTGGTGTAGGTATCCCACAGTACATGGCCACCAAATTACCATGGAGCGCATGCCAGCATGAACATAGTTAGTCCCTGCAACACATACGCAAAAAAGGCTAAGTTTGTCCAGGCAACCCCAACTGGTCGAACTGCGTCGTGATTTGCGCCTGGCTTCATCTGCGGACAGCTCCAAACACTTGGCGAATGTGATCAGAGTAATCTCATGGCACTTTTAAAAGGTATTCCCACGTACATGTCGGCAAGCTCACTTCGATACCCATGATTGGGTTTAGGGCTTCTTGGGGTCATATTACTATATATCCCCTGATACTATCCCCATGCATAATAATTTCCACTTCATTAGAACTCTCCTGGGTTTGGACGACCAGCTTGTTGTACATGGAGACTTGCACGCCACCCTCAGTGATGAAGATGAGGTCAAGCAGCCTGCAAGCTGCGTGTCATCTAAAAGGGCAAATAACGATAGTAATGATACTATCGATAATAACTGTAAAAGTAATAATGGTAAAAGAAATTAACATGATCAATAATGATTCTAATGGTGAAAGTGGCTAGTAATGATAAAAGTGAGAAGTAATGATGATACTAGTAATCAGTAAGAAAATTGCAATAGTAGTACCCAAATTACTAACAGCCATAAGAAAACCAGTAACACAAATACTGATATGATCATGAGCATAGTAGTATTAATCATATTGATCCCGAAGACTTGCTGCACCTGGGGTTGGATGTGGAGTTCTGAATGCACTGGTCAATCATGGAGCCCATCATATCGCCTTGGAAGCTCAGACAACCAGGTCACTTGAGTCACATCAGATTTCGGAGTTTCCAAACAGGGCGTCTCTCACTTAATACCTTCAAATCCTAGACTGCTCCTTTATCGTAGATTGGAAAAATCTTTGAATCCTCAAGGTATCCCTGTATAACCCTATACATCCCTTATAATTTCTTGAAAAGGGGCCCCTACCTTTGTTCAAACCTCCACATGCTCCAGCTTGGCTTGGGCAACTTTTCAACCGTCCCTGGGCCTGAAAGTCACTTGAGGTGATCTGCTAACTGTACTCCTAACCTCTGAACCCTGAACCATAAACCCTAAATCCTAAAGCCATCTAAAGCCTAAACCCTGAACCCTAAACCCTGAACACTAGACCGCATACCCGTCAAATCATAAAACCCCAAATCCCCCTGATAAGAAATGATACCCCTTTTATATGATGGAACTATATCCAGGGGGAGGTGATTGTATGAACTATATAGGGACATGAAAGGATATACTGGGTGACATAGGGACATGTAGATGATCCTGCTATCTGTGGATTTCCAAACATGAAGGGCCCCCTGTTCGTGGATCCTTGTAATGTAATGAGGATTGTAAAATGGGCAGTTGTGAGCAGGGTCATGACGCCCCTAAACTAAACCAAGTTATAGCCATAATACCTAGACTACGAGTTGTTCTCAACAGAAGGTCTGTTGCCAGCATGTCTTGGCCAATGGTAAAGGGACCTGGTGCCTTTGATGTGTCGTAATTAGTGGGCTGCTGCTGACCGAGGCAGAAAAAATGCTGGCTGAATGCTTCGTACAAGAGTCCCGTGAGAGCTTGTCCACTCAAAGGCCCACATCAAGATCAGACTTGGGAGTCAAGCCCCACCAAGCACCAGTATTAATGAAGGGAAGCTTGTATAAAAGAACGAAGTCCTGGCTACTTCTACATCTGTCTCCAGTGGTGCATGACATGCTTACCCGGCTTCAGCCAATGGACCAGAAGTAGGATCAATCGGAATCTCCAAGGCTCCCGAGATGTCAGTGATCAGCTGGCCTTTCTAGTAGAGGTCAGGTTCAAACTCACCACATTATAAGCAAAACCTGGTGGGCTTGTGCGGTCTGAGTATGCTAAAGGCACCTGTTTGTCTAGATTCTCTCTTGCACTTTCTCGTGGAAACTTAGTGTGTACCTTTGCCAGGCGCTTTCGTGATCCTTTTGCCTCGGGTATGATCCGACACTTCTGTTGGGAATATCTCTCTACATGCCAAGCAGTTTAAGAGTCCGGCTGCTGATGTCCTCCATGATCAAGCACATGGACGACAAGGGCACTGCTATGATCAGCATGATCCCTCCGAGAAAGAAGGCCAGCATCGTGTAGTAACAGCCTGAAGCGTGCGCAGAATGACGAATTCAATGTGGAGTGCTGTCAAATTGAAGGTACTGTTCAGGACTCCAACCAAAAAGCGAGGCCATGTTCAGACTAGCATTTGACAGGGCCCGTTGCTGCAGCATAGCAGCCGCAACACCAGGTGCAGCACGCGCATCGGTGGGTCCAAGGACTGTGAATCGGCTCGCTTGTGTCATCGCTTCCTTTACTGCAACAGCAACTCCGACTCTTCATTGATCAAGTTTAGGGCGTCCTATGCTCACTGCTGTTAGCTTCACTGCAAGCCCTTCCTGACTGGAAGGTCAACACGAGCAAAGCAGCCATCAGACTGGAACCTCATTACCTTATCTAAACCTCTTCAGGCCCAGCATCGCTTTGTGTCGCAGCACATCCACAGCAAGACAGCAAGCACCGCGCATGCTGCAAGGGTCAAAGCCAGACCTCATTCTGCGGCCTGACCCCTAGCCAAACAGAATCAAACTGAAATGGCAATCAAAAAGGAGATCCGTGCTAGCGACTACCGTCTCCGCAAATGTGCTGGCACACGCAGCACACAGATGATCAGCCTCTACGTAGATTTTACTGCATCTTGCAGGCTTGGCCACCGATCATGAACACACTGGCAACTGTCCTGAGTTTGCCGAAAACTGCTGCTGCTGCAGTGCATGACAAGGATCGTGAGGTCTGAAGATGCAAGTCTCAGTGCAAGCATGTTGCCCGTTCGCATTCATCCCATCCGAGAGCTGTTCCATCAGAGTGTCCTTTAAAGCCACCAACCGACGCATGCAACTCTCTGAACACAAGCGTCGCCCTACCCCAGGAAAAGAAGCTGTCCTCCACGAACGGAGTGAAGCTTGACCGAATGGTCGTCTTCAGCTCAACAAGTGGTGCAGTTGCCTTAGCTAGGACGCAGACAGGAGCGAAGTTACGTGCCTCACCTTTCTCGAACATGGTTGGATTGCTCAGGGAAGGCTTCGTTGATGGCTGCATATTCGATTCAAGAATTCCCTGCTCATGTAGAGTTTGCATGCCCTTTGTTCTACAATTTCATGTTTGTAAGCTGCAGAGAACACACCATATGAAAGGGATCTCGACGGGCACCCTACCATTTTCTCTGTGATGGGGTAGATCCTTAGGAGTAGAAATAATTTTGATTCAGACAGCCCTTCTTAAGAACCGGAAGCGCTGAGAGTCAACGTGTGTCCGGTGGCGGATGTGTTTAGAGGCTGAACATCATAGCGAACGAAAGTGGATGTAAAGATAAAGAAGTTGCTGGTTCATTTCATCACGCGCTCAGCAGCATGGGATTCCAGGCAAATTGAACTTGCATGTACTCAGAACGTGAAGGAGGGTATGGTATGCGCACAGCAGGTCGAATGGACATATGCGATCGACAGCTTCTTGTCACCTTGCCCCGCAGACCAACCACAAACCAATCACGGACGCGCCCCAAAAGCCGCAGCACAGAGTGCTGGCAAAACAAAGCAACCATGCCTTCTACATGGCAAGCTTTGAAAGGCTTGGTGTATTTGACCAAGCAGGAGCTTGACGCGAGAGACTTGCTGAGGTTGCTGGCCCAGGATCTACGTTCTCAAGGCCAGCTCCGTTTCTTCAAAGAAAGGCTTGCCGAATTCTAGCCAAGGCACGCTGCTGAGGGAGCTTCTGAGGCTGTTCAAACTGCCTCGGACGAAAGGAAGTCAGAGTATGTCTTAAGCCATACTCGAGATCCCAGTCTTTAGTGAATGTTTAGCTCCCTTGGATGCAGGCGCACACGTTGCATTCGCATCTATCTTGCTGAACGGTTGTTCTCTTGCAGAATACAAACCCATGCACGCACCAGAGCAGGCCCTAGTAAAACACATGTAATGATTGCAACCCCACCCCCCACTCTGAGCCCCAAGAGCCATTGTCCTAAATCTCGACCAGAAGATGCTTGGCATGCTCTGGAACACAGAACGGAAAGCTCTTGTTCTGAAAAGTTGGATAAGTCAACAAAATCTTACTTACACCATCCAGCTCAGTGACTTCCAGACAGCTGGTTGTCCACCTCAACGCGCGCTGCACTAAGTGCAGCAGCTGTGCCGGAGGACACGGCGCTGCTGACCTTACATTGATGCGGAGTGCTGAAATCGTAAACCTTCCGATATCCAAGAGGAACACTGGCAGCGGGAATGAGAATCATGAACAATCATCAACCTGCAGCGAGACGAAAATTCACAAACGAAATGCTTCCCAGCAAAAAGCATTGACTTTGCACACCTAAGTAACTGTGCTGAAGAACTATAGCTGACACGGAAATTCTCCGTCCAAAGGCGCGGCTTACCGGTTGCCACGCCCTAGCTGTAAACCCTAAGCCAGCACTGTATCCTCATAGTACAGTGACCAATGACTTGACAGGTTGTCCACGCTGCGACAACACCAACTCCGGTGCTTGTTGACACTTCGACAAAGATCAAACCCTCAAAAGCTAAAACAGCTGTTAACCTTTAACGCAACAGCTTCATCCTGCTGACTGTTGAGACTGCTGAAGATGCGGATGGAGAGTCGCTCTCGATCATGCCAGAATACAGCAACTAATGAGGATCGTAGTTCTCAGGAAGAGGCATCCGCAAATATGTTAAGGCCCGAATCCCACCGGGGCCTTGACAGCCATGGAAACCTTGTCTCATGCTCCACGTTAACTTCTTAAGCCTGAACCTTCAAACGCCCCTGATGCCTTCTGAGGTCTGGAATTTGGTTGCTATCTCTTCCATCCTGGAGGCTGTGCTCAGCGTTGTGGACAGAGTCTGGCAGGCCGCACCTCAGGATTCCAGCTCAGGTTGCATGTTTGGTCTTCCGCGCACAGTGCAGAGGACTTCGGCCTAAGATTCACTTTCAAGTCTGGAGTTTGCATGCTGCAGTCCATGCATTCAGCACACCAGACGGTGCTGCATACGCGATGTGTTTGCAATTGCAAATTGATCACAGCTGATGCAGGGGCCCCCACCAGATAAGCATAAGTGCAGACCCGAAGAACTTACAAGGTCTCTGCGAACTCACCTGTATTTTGGTGGAGTAGGGCCCACGCACTCGTGAAGCGTACCGGATGGCAGCGTGTTGCGAGAATCACTCAGCATGGCGCTGAGCATGTCCAATGTGGCCTCCCAGTTCAGAGTATAGAGCTCGTTTTGTAGTCGGGCATGCATTCTGATATGGTAGGTTGCACAGGCTGCTCACAGGCTATGTAGCTTGGATTGTTCAGCGACAGCTTGGGGCTTGCATCCCTGCATTTCCCGCAGCTAAGTCACCGTCGCCACAGTGACAGAATCGGTGATGGCCTGCACCAGTAAAGTGCGTGGCTGATGCCAAGCACCATGGCACTGTTTTCACCATGACAGGCATGCATCGCAGCGCCAAGCCTGGGTATTCAAGAGGATAGCTCGCAGGTCGTTGATGAACTGGGAGTTCTCCGCCAAGCTGCCTAGCACCGATGGTTCAAAGCTAGTGCGGAGACTTGGACGACATGTACGCTCACGCGTCCCAAACCTCCTTCAAAAAAAACACGTCTCCCGGCCTTCGAGCTCATCAAAGATGTTCAGCACGGGGATCAGGCCCAGAAAGTACGGATCGGCCTGCCCCTGGAAGGTGGTGTTGACCTTGGAGGGCATGGTTGCTTTCAGCTGCGACGTCGAAGCATTCGTTAACAATTTGAGCCTCATGCCTTCAAAGCTGGACAGACAATCGCTTTCAATATTCAAAGGCAAGTAGCCATCCTTGCCGCAGCGCAGTTGGTCACATCAAAGCCCTCAACGGCCTTGCACAAGCAGCTTCACGGCCGCTGCAGGACTTCGAACGAGTAACACTGGGCTCAATAAGTAGATACGTATAAACGAGATGACACGTGTGTCCCTTTACACGCACTTCAATATGAACATGCGGGGCACCAGCCACATGCACATCAGCAGGTGATACATTGAGCGTAGTTGCGTCTAATTCCCAGCACTCTTCACATGCAATCTTTCACTATCTAGCGCAGGGACTTAGATTCAGCTTCAGATACCCAAATTCACCTTCGCGACATTATTCCCAAGGGTGGCAATACAATGGTAGCATCAATACTCGCTTGCTGCTTCTTAAGGTCCAACGTCCCGCTTGCAATGATCTTAACCTTTTTCAGCAGTGAGTAGCTGTTCCAAGTCTCAACCTGGAGCGCACTCATGCTGAACTTCCGGTATACTGTGTACTACCGTATCAACCTTCTCCTACAGGCTTCCAGACAATAGGGAAATCAGCAGGTCAGTCTGAACAGCGATTGTGTGTGGTCAGTGCAAACCAGGCAAAATCAAGTTCCCTATAGGACACCAACAAGATCCTAAGACATGAGCTTCCTCAATTCTTTTGCAAAATCAACTCTGTTGCCAATTACAGACAACCCTCCTCCGGTCAGGAACGAAAAACAACAACGCTTGGCTGAAGTCGCTCAGAGCAGCTCGGGAGTATCCACGGGTGGACAGGCTGGACACGGTAACCAGAGCCAGGACCATCCCAGCGATCCTCTACAAAAGTGGCTCCAAGGCTTGGGGTGAATTCAAGATATCAAGATACACAGGAGATCTCTGGGCTCTTGGAAAAAGAGGCCAGCTGCGTGCCATCAGGAAGCGGACACCAGGGTTCTTATTAGTCTTTCTTTGTCAGACGCTTTGCTCTAGGGGCCTAGGTTCACAGTCGACTTGCACCTTTTCCAGCTTGTGGGTGCAAGGCTTTTGGTTTGAGGGACCTTAACCCAAAGTTGAAGGCTTGAAGATTTTGGCTTCTGAAGTTTACGGTTGCTGCAACGAGGCTCAAGGGTGTTCGCACGGGCTTTCAGCCGGAAGCTCTTGAAGTCTGCCCCTGAAAGAAAAGGCTAGATATGTTCTCAAGATCATAATCACGTATCGATTCGGTGGGTACTACCAGCTAACCAAGCCTGATTTGGTGTTCAGACACTGTTGGGGGGAGGATTCTGATGCCACGAAGCGGCATAGGACCTAGGGCCAATTTAGCAAACAGGTTCACATTATCACCTTGCTTGCGCGGTTGAGCTTCTAACTGTTGGTGCACCCTCTCCTCTGTGCGGCCTACCCAACTGGTACGATTGAGCAGGCCACTGGCAGAGACATACACGCAGAATAATGTAAGAAGCTATCAGCCCACCAGGCTTCCCTTTCAGATGCCGCTCTATGCATGAAACACGCACTGTCCAGCAAAAAGACCTTCTCGTTTAGTCAGCCGCATCCCAGACATAAACAAAAAACAGCGGCAATAGTATCTCGGTATCTACTAATTGTCCCACTTCTCAGCCGACAAATACAAACTACTGTGTGCTGCAGGGCAAGGCACGTACCTTAAGGTATACCAAGCTGAGATATGGGGGGGGATGGCAGCAAACCATCCAAAACTGATTGCAGCCAAATAGCACGAGAAGAAAGAGCAGCTTCGCAAAGAAGGGAATCCCTCTTTTCCTGTCAGGGGCATCTGCTTGGCACAGCCATGTCCTGCACACCCGGCCTGCGCTGTCCACACCAACCGCTTGCACGGCAAGATCGATTGAAGTGAACAACATGAAATCCATGGCAATGAGAACTCAAACAATGCCATGAAGCATTTAAGCATAATCGAACCAAATGATTGCCGCAACCTCTTCTTAATCCGATGTGTGAAATTGAAGGGCATACATGTGTGCAGCACGGATTTAGCATCTACATTCAAAGTGAAGACCGTCAAGTTTTGCACCCAGGTCTTGCTGCAGCAGCGAAGGCACTTGCAGCAAGGACATGCCGTCCAACAGCATATGAGCAGGTACACGGCTAAGATCAGGAAGAACATGATCTCAGCAAGAACAAGGAAGTTGATGTTGGCTTCATTGATGTATGGCTTCTGCTACAGACTTGACCAGACATGTTCTCAAATGGTGAAGTTCTCGCATGGTTCGCGTTGCTCTCACAAAGTTAATTGAAAAACATAACCTGAAAGCCAGGCAGCCAAAGGAGTGGCGATTGCAACCAACTGTCCCGGAAGTTCAGAAGCAAGCTTGTCAGCTAGCTCTTGGTTGTTGCTTGCCTCCTTGGGCCATGGCAGCATTCATACCAAGCAACTTTATAGCAAGGCAAGCTTTCCCTAAAGCCAATAGAAAGAAAAACCTCCTTTGCAGTCATCAGGATCTGTCATGATGGTCAGCAAGATGTTGCCAGCCGCTGCATCCTCCAGTTGCGCTCTTTGTCCTGCTCGGTCCTGGGAAGCAGTTGCTACCTTTGGGCAGAGTAGAGGTATGGGCCAAAACCGTGATGCCTTTGCAAAAGTCTAAGAAGTGGCCATCGCAGACTCAAGCAATATCAATATTAATAATATTCATATTAATAATATTCATATTCATACTATTAAAATTAATAATAATATGAATATTCATACTATTAATATTATTAATATGAATATTCATACTATTAATATTCATAATATGAATATTCATACTATTAATATTAATAATATGAATATTAAGCAAATCTCAAACGAGCCCAGCATCGTCGATGTCCAGGGAACTCCGGATGGCACAGGCCTGGCAGGGAAAGCTATATGGGTGTTTCCCAAAATCAAGGTATATAGGGGTTATATAGGGGTTATATTGGGATAATGGAAAATAAAATGGAAACTACTATAGTATATAGGGATTATATGGGGATAGTGGATTTGGGTGTTTCCCAAAATTAGGGGTACCTTTTTTGGGGGGCCCAATAATAAGGACTATAGTATATTGGGGTCTATATTGGGGTACCCTTATTTTGGGAAACTACCATATGGTGGGACGTACATTTCGCAACTTGAGAAAGTTTGCAGTAGCCCACTCAAGAGGGTCTAGGCCTAGGCGTCATCCAACTTAGCCATGCAATTTATGTGTTGCGGCTTGAAGTCAGAGTACTATCCAGTCCGCCGACTGTCTAATCCTCAGGGTGCGCCCTATTGACAATCTGAATTCACAAGTATGTGACAGGCACAACTCTTCTTCCAGCTACTTATCCACGTCTTCGGGGCTGGCCGACTCAGCTTTGACATCCGCCGCAGTGGCCATGTCGATGTCGGCCTGTGTCACGTAGGTGCCTACCTGAGATGCGTAAAGCAAGAAAAAGCGTGAGGACGAAAGACACAAAGCAGTCCAAGGCATTCAGTGAGTCTCTGAATTCAAGAAAAACCTGTGATCATGGTCTGCGAAAGCTCAACTTCAGAAACGGATACACTAACATGGCGGGTTCCGTGTGTCCATTGCCAGTTAATAGACACAATCGAAAGAAACTACTATCTAATACCTCAAAACCACTGGCCCTGGTGCCACCAAGAGACTGTCCATTGTCCTTGCTAAATCCAAGGAGTGCGGACGGCTGCAGACTACAAGAACAAAAGCCCCTGCCCCAAACTCTTGCTGGCCTCTGCATGCGATGAAGGGACCAAGCAGTATCAACAGCTTGACCTGAGCCGGCTGGACTTAAGGCTGCTCTGTTGCGGCCATCCATCGGCCACGTGGTACCCAGCTCTTTGTCATCTGCAAAAGGCTTTCTGAGCTTGGTTGTGTCTAGCCAGATTAACACCAAGTTTCTGTGCTGATTATCATCGTCTCCTCGGCCTGTCCTTGGCCAGGCACAGGGTGCGTCCAGCAGTTCTGGACTATGCATCACAGACTTGCTTCTGATTCACAGGGCATATCGAGAGCGTAACCACCTCCCGCTGCTGTTCCCGGAGCTCTGCAATGATGCTGGCTAGATGTTGAGATCCAAGTTGGTTGCAAGACTGTGGATATGCTTGGAAACGCAAACCCAACGCATCCGAGGTTCTACAGCTGACACCACTATTTCAAGGTGTCTTTTTCAGCAAAACAAAGATGGCAGCGGATGCTTGACAGATACATTACAGAGGAAATTCTCAACCACCTATCTACCCCCAAGATGTTCTCACCTTGACGATGCTGACCCCGAAAAGGAAACTCAAAAAAGACCCATAAGCAACCCAGCTTAGAGCGAAGCACAAGAATTTGCCCAATAGAACAAAAGGCCGGCATCCGGCTGATCACTTCCAACAATTTGGCTTCAAGGGTGCCCAAGCCAGTCCTGGATACATCCCAGGATGCATTAAGTTCTTTTCGCAGCCTGTTCCATCTGCTTCTTCACAGCTCTGTGTTACGCTACTCAGCTGTGTGTTAGTTGAGTGGAAGTTGCAACAAAATCAGCGTTTTGCAACAGAATCGGGTTTCACTGTCCAGTGACATCCGATACTGCCAGAACAGGTCATGTTAATGAACCGACTCAACAGCGCACCTGCCAAGAAGACCAACAAATAAGCGAAAGAGTACCCTTACCGGCCGCATGACAACAGCTCAAACTGTTGCTTTGAGAGAATTGAAATGGCACAGCAGTTCGGGAAGTTACAGATCAAGAGACACACTTCTTAAAACTTCTCCTTAGAGGGCTGGGCTGTTGCAGCTTCCTGTTTATGTGCTCACGGATCTTGAGCACCCGCCTCACGTGCTCGGATGCGCAAGATGCTCTTTGACCAACATTCAGTGTAGCGGTGGCCTAAAGTGGGCCTAAAGGATACCAAGGTCTTTTGTAGGCTGCTCGCGCATCATGCAGAAAGCTAGCTGCAGCAGCCAGTCAGCTCAGTCGTCCTGAAGCAATTGCATCTAGGACGGCGACTCACACTTCCTCCTCTGTCTCTAGGGCTGAGATTCTGCCCGCACTGTAAGGTGGCTTCCAGACTGCTTCACTTCAGAAGTTGCCCCGCCCGAATTACACCTCATTAGATAACCTAAAAGTAGCGTCGCTAGTTGTCAAATGAGATTCTATACAACTACTATACCCAAAAGAATGATACAATATTACGGTATATTGGGGAGTATAGTACTATTCACGGACCTCGGTCGATCATGCGGTATCTCCAAATAAAACAAGCAGACCTAGAGACTTAGCTACTTTTCTGCTATGAGAAACTGTGGTAATCTTAGGCATCTGCACATGATTATTCCATCCAAGCACGCACAAGAACAGACATATAACCCTATATAACACCTACAAACCCTATACTTTCCATGTACTTTTCCATGATCCCTATATAACCCTACCTATATATTCTTATAATTTAGAAGTGTCCATTTTCTTGTTCATTATCCCTATATAACCCAAATATAACCCCCCTATAGTTACCGTGTTCTTTTCCATTATCCCTATATAACCCCAATGTAACCCCTATATAACCCTATTAACCCTATAGTTTCCATTTTCTTTTCCATTCTCCCTATATAACCCCAATATAACCCCTATATAAACCCTATGGTTTCCATTTTCTTTTCCATTATCCCTATATAACCCTATATAGCCCTAGCATGTCCTCTTGCTCTGCCTCAAGGACGCGCTTGGCCTGAAGAACGCAAACTGCGCATCTAAGAGGAGCTGTGACTCAGAGTTTACATGGGGGTTTAGGGTTTAGGACCCCCAACAGGGTTATAAGGGTTATGTAAAGGCTGTAAAGGTTATATTGGGTTATATAGGGATTACACAGGGATGTATTACCCTCCCAATAATGGAGAATCAAATGGAAAAGAGAATTGAACATTGAATTTGAACCTGGGTTCGCAGAGGGGTTAGCTGACTGTTCCCACCTGTGGCACGGCGAGCAACTGTGCCTCTCATTCCTAAACTGCTCAAGCCGTCGTTCCTGTGAATAAGCCCCCACCACTGCAGAAGTCTCTAAACCGTTCCTCAACCCTAAGCATATGAACCATTTCAACAACCATGGTTGAGCACGCACTGCAGTGGGACATCCACTTCCACCACGGCCTCAGCCTCCGCGGCTTTTCGCTGCTCTGCCGGCACCGCAGAGAACTGGCATCAGGACTTCATTTCAGAAGTGCTTCAAAAAGGAGCCCTTGCGCGTGTCAAATCCTTGTCATAAGGATGTTAGTTATCGAGCTTGATGCAGAAGTGGCCAATTGATGTATCCTTGTGGGGTGGCTTGTTCGCTTTAACTTCATGGTGAGCGTGCGGTTGTTGGAATTTGGGTCTAACACGCATTCAATCATTCAGAGCATATCAAACTTCTTCAAGAAGCTGTAAATGGTCTTTAGGAGCTAGGAAGGCTCAGAGTCAAGAAATTCGCAGCACCTGGCAAACTCCAGAAGAAGCTGAGTCCCTGAGTTCTTCTCTGCTGGGCTGCACTAGAGAAAGCTGCGCACGAGTAATAGGTAACTTGAACATGATGCCTGTGAGTTGTTGTTATTGTTGTTGTTGTTGTTGTTGGTGGTGTTGGTGGTGTTGGTGGTGTTGGTGGTGTTGGTGTTGGTGGTGGTATTGGTGTTGGTGGTGGTGTTGGTGTTG